ACCCCACCCTACCCACCCAAGTGACTACGGACGCTTCGGGATACGGTATTGGTGCGGTGTTGGAACAGTGTCACAAGGACGGTTGGCATCCGGTCGAGTATTTCTCCCAAAAGGTGCCTCTCGTCAACACTCTCGACGACGCTAGGAAGAAAGAGCTACTCGCGTTCGTCACCGTTCTCAAACGGTGGTGCCACTTTCTTTTCGGCCGTCGGCGTTTTAAATGGAATACGGACAACAATCTGTTGACCTTTTACAAAACGTAGGACACGGTCACTAGCACGATTGGTTGATGGATGTATTACATCGACCAGTTCGATTTTGACCCGTGCCACATTCCCGGTCCCGCCAATCGAGCTGCGGACGCCCTCTCACGACGGCCCGACTTTTGTGCCATTGTGACCACAACATTCAACCTCGATGACGATCTGCAACCGCATTTCGTCAAAGGCTACAAGTCCGATCCGACTTCGCTTTATGAAGAGCTTTCAAAGGCTACAAGTCCGATCCGACTTCGCTTTATGCAGAGCTTTCATCGGATCACCCGCCGGCTAGCCACTATCGGATTTCCGACGGGTTCCTTCTCCTTCACACGAGAGGAAAGGACTTGTTAGTTGTGCCCCAAAATCGCATCTTACGGACTCGTCTTCTCGGCGAATTCCACGACGCATGACTTTCGGCACACCTTGGCGTGAACCGCACATTAGCACGCCTCCGCCAACGTTTTCACTGGCCCGACGTCCTTCATGACGTCACGAGGTACATTGAGTCATGTGCAGTTTGCCACCGTAACAAGGGTCGATCTCAAGTCCCCTTCAGCGAACTGAAACCATTGCCGATTCCTCGGGCACCGCGCCTCTCCATTGCTATGGACGTGATAGGCCCGTTCCCCCGCGATCGCCATGGCCATGACGGTATTCTCACGGTCGTTGACCGTTTGAGCAAGTATGCTCACTTCCTTCCTTGCAAGTATCATGCTGCAGCGCCCGAGCTCGCACTACTCTTGCACACCGGTTGGATTACCAACCAGGGTGTTCCGGAAGACATAGTGAGCGACCGAGATACTCGCTTCATGTCGGCCTTTTGGACATCCCTCATGGCTGAGTCCGGTACGACAATAAGCCGAGCTCGGCTTGGCACCCGCAGACGGATGGCCAGACGGAGCGAGCGCACCAGAAAGATTGGGTTGACCGGCTTCCCGACATCGAGTTCGCCTATAACACTCTGGTGCACCCGACAATCTGCGTCACACCATTCGAGTTACATCATGGTGGAGAGAAAGCACGAATCTTCGCTGATCTCCTTTTGCCACAAGCTGCCGACATAGACGTCCCTTGCTCTCCCGCTTCCGTTCGGAAGTACCGGGACTTGCTGATCAAAGCCCGCGCGAATATGCAAAAGGCTCAGATCCGCATGCAGCAGCAGGCTAACCGACGTCGACTTCCATGTCCTTTCCGCAAGGGAGACCTTGTTTGGGTCCTCTCCGAGGAATTTGCGCTCGAGCAGGACGTTTCGCGCAAACTCCTTCCGAAATGGTTCGGACCATGGGAAGTCACTTCTGCCGTTGGAGACGACCCCGCAGGTCCTTCCTTTGTGGTCAACATTCCTCCGCACCTTCCAGTGCACCGGGCCTTCCACGCGTCGAAGCTGGCCATCTACACGCCACCTTCCGCCGACGAGTTCCCCGGCCGTTGATCACAGGATCCGCCTTCTATGGACGGACATCAGGAAGTCGACCGAGTCATCACGCACCGCAAGTATGGCAACAAGCCAATGCAGTTCAAAGTCACATTCAAGCAATGTGCGCCTGACGACACTCGGTGGATCTCAAGTGCAGACTTGCAGACTTCTGCACCCCTTATCTTCGCCGACTATGAGAAGCGACGCCTTGCCAAGGAAGCAGCTCGTCCCACCCGACCCATCCCGGTATCGGACAGACAACTTCGCCCTCGCAGGTAGCTCGGTCTTTTAAGAGGGGGAGTGTGTTACATCTTCGATGCCACACGGGTCCTACCGGACCCGACTTAGGGCCAGAGGGACACAGTAGGGCCTAAAGGCCTGACCCTGGGGGTACTACAGGCCGTAAAGGCCTCATCTTGGACCAGACCCGACGGGCAGGCCCAAATGACATTACCGTTTGGGCCTGGCGGCGCTCTTGAGGCTGCCGCCCGCCGGTTGGGGCTGAACCGTCGATCTTGACGGTTCAGGGCACGGCCAGGCCTCGCAGCATAGAGGCCGGCCTCTGCCCCACCGTACAAGAGTACCGGTCCAGCCTCAGTCCGGCATCGAACCACTGGCATTCTATGCGGTGCGTTATGGTTAGCGCCAGAGCGCTAGCGCTATTCTTAGCGCAGGAGTGAGAGGAGCAGCGGCAGCAGTGGCGACTGGGCATATCGGTGGCCATAGCCGCCTGAGGTATCGGGAGCCGGAGGTTCTCTCCTCCCTCCCGTCGCCAGTCCCCTCTCTCTCTCTCTCCTCCTCGACTCCCCTCTTCTTCTTCTTCTTCTTCTTCTTCTTCTTCTTCTTCTTCTTCTTCTTCTTCTTCTTCTTCTTCAGACTCCATCTTCTTCTTCTTCTTCTTCTTCAGATTGGAGACTTATACTAGTTGGACAGAGATCAGTGTTGGACTTCGGTAGTAAGAGGCTGTTGTACTTACCGGGTTTGAGACTTGGAGATTGTTGGGGATGATACTCGGCTGCATCACAGATTGGACACCGGTTACATTAGGACTCTGTATCTCCGACATTGGTGACTTGTTGTCCTCGACATTTCGATCTTGTTCGATGACATTTTGGATTACCACATCGGTGACCTACTGGTTTCTATCTCGGTGACATCTGGTGTTACCTTCATCTCCCACCTCCTTCGTCTCTCCTCCCACCTTCATCTGTGTATGTGTGTACGGGGCTGAGCATCGTCTATGTATGGCTCAGACCCCACCATCTCACGATTGTATGTGTGTGGAGTGATATCTATGTGAGTCAGTCTATGTGAGTCAGTCCGTTCATCAGACTTCCGTTGCATACATACTCATCCTATATTGGTTGATCTTTGGTTCTGGCCCATACTCGTTGATAAATCACGAGTATGTAACAGTGCAAGTCTATAATGTGTGTTTGCCCAGTGGCTGTTGGATTGTTAATAGAGCAGATGCCTGATTGTTGATAAGTTCTTTCTTGACGTCTGTTATTTACGTCACTCTCTTCTTTTCTGATTCTCACCTTCTTCTTTCTCTCCATTTCAGTGCACACAAATCCATCTCTCTCTTTCTCTCTCTCTCTCTTTTAGTAGTTTGTGGCTTCGACCCTAGGATGCTTCACTCGTACAAAATTAAGGATGCAAGCGTCGAGGACATAATTTTATTATCTGGGTTTTCTTGTAGGATCACCACTGCTATGCTTGCTGGGTATTGCTGTTGTTCCCAGAAAACAGCTACTTTGATATAAGTACAGCTTAGGATAGATCTTGTCAGGACATGTAGGGAGAGTAAGCGACTGCAGATACGAATCTCTGCAGGCACAGTGGCACAGTGCTAACACAGTGTCTCTGCAGTCCTATGGCCATCTTATTCCCACTATGGAGGCACACAGCCACGCTCATACATGTTGGCCTTTTTCTTTCTCCCCGCCCCCCCCTCCCCCCTTTCTCCCCGGCCCTTTTTTTGATCCAATGGCCTTAGCATAGTCCTGAGCAGGAGCTTTAGGGAGAGAGTATGTAACAACAGCTAGGAGTTTATCTATCTGTGGTTGGACGCCACATGGGCTTTCTGTATCGGCAGGTCAGTGGACATGATCGGCACGTTTAGAGAGAGAGAAAGGCTGCAATGATGGATACCAATCTTATCCGCAGTGCTGTGATGAAGAGGCGTAATGTACGGGCTGGTCGACTGTGAGATTTATGAATGAGGTTTAGTGAAGAGAATACAACCACCTAGTGCGCACTTTCGTTTTGTCTAGACTGCGCAAGAGACAAAAATGGAATCATTTTTTGAAGCAGCAAGTGGCCGCTGACAGGGGTGGCCAGTTGTTGAATAACGACTTCCTGAGTGGTTTCGGATGGGTCAAAAATTCAAAATTGGTAATAACTGAGTGTGCGTGTGTATGTGGAAGTGGTTGGAGTGGGGACAAATGATGTGTGCTTGTGTTTGTGATAAAGTAGTGGCCTGTACCGACAGGCACTGGGATGTCTGGGGGTGTCCTTTCCCGATTGTTTGCTGACTATCAAGTCCACATACGTCAGTCTTTGTATGTGCCCATTTACTGATGGCCTGGGAAAAAAGAAGGCCATTTACTGATGCGACAAGTACGTTTATCGTTCGGTCAGGTGTGACATGAGTTGGGCTATTAAAGAATTATGTATCGACTGGCCCCAGTGAGGTGTGTATTGGCTTTTCCATAGTAGACTTGGCCTGTGCTTGACCCTGGATCCGTCCGTCCAAGTTGAGGGAAAAGCAGAAACTGCAGTCCGTGGGGCTCGAATGAGGGCACAGAAGTGAATTAAATCAGCGTGTTGATGAATAAGGTATTGCTTTGGCATCCCTGTTTATGATGAGAGGTGTCGCCTGCTGCATTTCAGTGTATGTTGACAAGCTCTCCTTTCACGAGTGCTGTGAAATTTTATCTTTCTAGAAACCATTTCGATACTGGGTGCTGCACCGGGATCATTTTTTGTCGACCTTTGTCTGCCTTGGCTCAGGCAGTGTCCTAGGTATGTGTCCGCACAATTGTGAGGCTTCAAGGTTCGAAGTGATTGTGAGGCTTCAAAGTTCCAATTGAAGTTTTATTTGATATGTGCAATGTGCATTCAAATTGTGATTTCAGAGTGAGTGGGGATATTATCTTGTTTGAAACAACAAGCCCTTTATGGCATATTTATTATTTAGCCACTGTTCTTCTAGCCGGATTGACTGCTTGCTTGACTCTTTGCTGACTCACTTGATCTTATGTTGATGTTGACCGCAATTTTGTGCGTGTGCGTGTGTGTGTGTGACCTGGGTGAGGCAGGGAATTGTGCTAGATGAACAGGGCGGATTAGATGCTAGAACGAGGGCTCGTCTTGATGAGGTAGGTGGGGTGAGATGGGAATGTTTGATCACAAAGTAAAGTTGTGTTGTCAATGAGGAAGAAAAGGCCTTTCGGTGAATTGGAGTCGGGAAAATAGTTGGAATTTAAGAACGATTTTGTGTATGGCAATTGGATGTGCAATAACGTGGCCCACCCAGAATCCTCTGCCTCATATGGTCATTGAATGTACTGCCATGCATCCTTATTATTCCTCCTGCTGCTGCTTTTCCTCCTCCTCCTCCTCTTCCTCCTCTTCCTCCTCTTCCTCCTCTTCCTTCTCTTCCTCCTCCTGCAGCCCTCCCATGTGTTCCCTAGTTTTTGCTCAGAATGTCGTCCCCCAGTGCATCATAGATACTTTATGAACTGGAAGGATAGGTATAGTGCGTGGTCAGTTATTAATTGGCTGTATGCGTTGCAGCATCTGTCTGGGCAGTTCAGCAATTCATCCTGTCCCCAGACATGATCTGATATGTCTGTCTATTTATCTTTTTCCAGAACCTCCTCCCTTCAGTTTGACTTGGCTTACCTGCCACTTGACCTCCCTGCACAACTGCCTCCTTCAACTCCCAGCTCCATCTGATCAATCGCCTTCGTTGCTGATAATTCATCTGTTTTTTTTTCCCCCTTCTTCTGAACGTCCTTCCATGCTGCTAATACTCCACTGGACTCCCCCTCCGGCCTCTGTCCTGCTGCTGGCGGACCTCCTTCCATGCCCGTCCTTTGTAACTGCTCAGGATGTCTCTCCTTGCCCCCCTCCAGACTTCCATTAGACGTTCCGCACCTTCCTGCATGGTGCCTTCCCACTTCTCTCCCAACCTGTAACATTTCCGTATCAGATAGCCTGCTTTCACACCCTTCTTTTTCTGGAAAGTCAGGGCCAATTGTGTGGGGAAGGCCCCGGAAGGGTGTGAAAACGGCACAACTGAAGACTCAATCAAATGTACAGATCAACAGCGCTGCGCAGCCCGGGTCGGGGAAGGTCGCCCGGGCACTGGCCCGGGCCAGGCAGGGTCTGGGCAGGGTCCGGGGCAGTCGCGCGCATTATATTAGAAAAAAATAAAAGGTAAAAGTACTAAAAAGTAGTAAAAACTACTAAAAAGTTATTTAAGAGAATCCAAAAAAAAAAGCATGTGTTTAAAATTGTAATACAAACAACTTTTGGTTAAGTCTCCTCGAGATCCCTAATTAGTTTTAAGTTAGGGAGAATTTGCAAAATACCACCATAAGTTGAGATATATGCCAAAATGCCACCCTAAAAGATGTGAATAGAGGGGAATGGCCCTCTGACAAAGAAGTCTTTTGTGAAATATCCCTGGTGTCGGTTGGACCCCCCATCTTAGCAATATACCCCTACCGGGTACCAGCCAACTTTGCAAAATGCCCTGGTACTTGCCTACTTTTCCAAGGCCTGATTGCAAAAGGCCAAGGCTCAAACGTCGAGGTCCACATTGCAAATTTGTACACTGGCCTGACACGGACGTAACACAGATTTTGGCCGAAAAGGTCATTCTGCTCTACCCACATCTTTCAGGAGCATTTTTGCATATATCTCAATGTATGGGGGTAGTTTGCAAACTATCCCGAACTTTTAAGATAAGAACAAAAAGGAAAACATGAGTTAAGATTTACCCTAACTTTTAAGATAAAAAAAAGGAAAACATGAGTTAAGATTTACCAAATTTACCCCTTTGGACCCTTTTAGTCACTTTTTACTCCCCTCCCCCCCCTCCTCGCCCCCCCAACCCGCCCTCGTGTGATCCATCACGGAAATGGAAGGTAAGGCTCGATTCTCACTGCTCAGGCCAAGCTTAGTCCTGGCCTGAAGTCAGTTTTTTCTGTTTTTTGGGATCCTCGTGTCTTTTTTGACCCGCCTGGTTTTCTTGGCTGCGCTTGGGTCCAAAATGATGGCTGGTGGCCAACGTGTGGGATTGGCTACACAAACAGGTGTTCAGGCCCTCGGCTCGGTGGTGCCAGGTCCCTAACATTCCACAACAACAACAACAACACCCCCCCTCCCCTCCCCTGCCCCCAACCCTCTTCTGCCCCTTGCATCCATCTGTACAGCCCTCCTAACCTCCCTTCTGATCTCCTTGCTCGCCTTCTTCTGGACCTGCTTCCGTTCACCTCCCTCCTACACCTGCCTCTGTCCTTCCCTTCACGTCCGTTCTGCACCTTCTTTGGCTGATTGCATTGGGTTCGAACTTGGGTCTGTATTTCAGCAGTCGATGGGTGTAGCAACTGAGCTATAGGCCCGTTGGTTCTTCTTTGGCCTTTCCACTTCCCTCCTACGCTTCCTTTCCACCTTGTCACCTCCCTCTTCCCAAGATCACTTTGCAGTTTGAGTTAGTTCGCATGGTCCAAGATATTTGCGAATGCCAAGCGTAAAGTTTGTGGCAAGATTTGTGAGATTGACTGCTGTGTTTGGGGTCAAAAAATGGGGTACAGGTTCGAGCCAGACTCCTCCGCACTGGTATGAAGGAGAGTGTGGCGAATCCAACGGTTGCTGTAGCTTCAGATTACCTTACTCAGGAGGAGATGCAGCTGTTCAGAAAGCCGAAGAAGAAGAAGAAGCTGCGGAAAAGGGAATTGAACCTTGATCTTGATGCAATGGAGGAGCATGCAAGACTGGCGGCCGAGAAGGCTGGAGCAGTCGATCATGGATCGAGAGCTAGGGGAAGCAGGAAGCTGGAGAAAGAGGAGGCGGAACGAGAGCAGGACGCAGCTGCTAGAGAGGCTGCCTACGAACGGGCAATGGAGAAGGCAGCAGATGCTGCACGGCTCCTGAGAGAAGATGGTGTTGGCTGCGACACAGAGATGAATGAAGCTGAGGAAGGGGAACTTGTGATACCCCCAAGCCCCAGGGAGGAGCAGAAAGATACAGACATGGCGGAGAGCGAAAGGGAGAATGAGGAGCAGGATGTTGACCTAGTTCTGGACGAAGACGAGGATTTAACTCGGTCTTTGGAACAGGCAAGGAAACTCGCAATACAAAGAAGCGAAGGAGAGGCAAAAGTTGGTGTGTTAGCGGTCGCAGCCGCTGTGGAGTCACTGGGAGCGAACAAAGAAGGCGCAGAAGAAGAGGACGGCGAAGAAAATCAAGAAAAGTTGGTGTTCACTGACATGAGCGAGTTTTGCCGAAGTCTGGCTATTGATGATGGTGCGAGCAAATTTCAGCCCCCCCCCCCAAGTCTCTTCCTCCCCTTCTTTCGTGTTCATCTAATGTCTGAAGATCTGAACCAAACTTGGTCGCTCGCCTGCGCAGAGTATGAAGCAAGCAAGATCAATACAGAGCATGCCGACAGAATGCAGGAATCAAACTGCTACCCTTCCAGCTGTATGGCATCCTTTTCTTCTCTCTCTCTCTCTCTCTCTGTGTGTGTGTGTGTGGGGTTCTCCAGTCGGAGTCGGAAGCCAGATATGAAAAAACTGGGACTGAAACGATGCCAGATAAGAGAATCGCAGATATCTGGAAAAAGGCTAGAGGTGCTTCTTGTCTACGCTGAGCACTTTGTGCCTTCTACGACCTTAGTGAGCAATAGAACAAAATCATCTGCTGCTGTAAAATTTCTGTTCTGCCGAACGAAGGCCTTGCCTTCGCAGTTTGTTTCTTGAAGATCCATCAGCTCTGCTTTGCGCCTGTTTCATATTTACAAACGGCCCTGTCAGTCTCGTATTCGGTCTTGGATTCATCTAGACAGTCAGCGGAGAGTGATGTTGCAGGCTTTGGCAAAAAATATTAGGAAAAGGTGTGTGGGAAGTTGTTGAAATTTTTGGAAACCCTTTCNTGCAACCCTTCACAGTCACGGCCACAGGTAAGTACCGGCCCTGCGGGGCCTTGCAACCAACAAGTACCCTTGCGGGTCACACACACACTCAACCGCCAAGCACTCAGACAGGCATGCAAACCAGYAGGCACGCACACACACACAGACATGGAAATCACAGCAGGATGCGGGAATTTCAACAAGGCATTCATTCCAGCGGCAAATCCCAGAAATCAGCAGTGTTCTCAGTCTGTGTTTTTGGCGGGTCGTTACAGTTTTCATTGTGGCGTTTTTTTTTCTTGTCCTGTTGTTGTTTGCAGACAAACGAGTGATCCAAAGAGTGCTTTTGCGACCGTTGAGAAGGAACATCTTGGTGGTTTGACACCAATGCTTGGAGACAAGAAGGTGAGTTTTTCAGTTGCCTCAAGTGCTGCGAGTAGTTGCTTGCTACCGGCCTCTATGTTTCATATGCCACTGTTCTGTACAGTGTCTGGATCTTGAAAGTTCACGCTCGGTGTCCGTTGGGCCATCTGCCAAAAGTTGAAGCAATGCGGAGAAGATAGAAAAGGCTTCTAAATGCTTGAGAAGTCCAAAAGTTTGAAAAACCAAGATAGAAAAAGAAGAAACACACTAGGAAGATTTTCATGCCCGGCCGGGCACCCGGGCATGCAAAAAAAAAAAAAAAAAAAAAAAAAAGTTAAAAAAACGTCTCCCCCCCCCTCGCCCCCCCTTTTCTGCACTCTCCCAGAGGACCCAAATCCGGGCTCATTTCTTTTTTTGCGAGTTGGCTTTCAAGCGGGGGGGGGGAAGGGAGGGGGGTATAAATCGGTTTTAAAATTTTAATGTGCTAAACGGGTTTAAAGGGGGGTGCCTTAGTGTGATTCTGTTATTTTCTTTTTTTTATCCCCGATTCCTTGAGGAATTGTAATGTGACCCCTCAGCCAAAAGTCGTTTGTATTGCAATTCTACAGAACATATTTTTTTTCCCCGGATTTTTTTGATTTTTTGATTTTTTTGTTTTGTTTTGTGCTGGGCCTGTCCCGAACCCTGTCTGGGGGTCCTGCCCGGCCGGGCACCCGGGCATAAGTTGGGTGCCCGGGCGCCCGGAAAAACAGCCTAGGAAAAACAGTTAAAAAAAGAAAATATTTCAAGCGCAGTTGTCTGGCCCCGCTGGCCATGGTCCGCTACACCCTGGGTACGACAAGTGCTACCTTATTTCTGTGAACACAACACCTGCTGTCACTCGGTCATTATACCTGTGTATTTATGTTCGAGTCTGATGCAAGCAAATGACTGGGTGGCGTGTAGGGGGGAAGAAGGTACTTAACAATGAGGAGTTGCGTGGTTGCCCCTGCTCTTTCCTCAAGGGGTCCTAGCGTGTCCCTGCACTAGTAGATGTTATTCTTTCCGGGTTCTTGTTCTGGCTTCCCGTTCGTCTTCCCTCTCTTAACGGTCAGTGTGTAAGAAATGGCCTTTTTGTGACGCAAAGTATATTCCTCTACGCTTTCTTGCCTCCCGTTTTTGAATCATGTGACTCTGCTCCCAGGCGCTATTTTTTTCGTCAGTCTGATCAGTGTCTCTATGGCATCCCTTGAAAATTCTCGTCGTCTTCACTCTCTAAACGCCGTAAACGGTCAGTGTAAGGAATAGTCTTTGTGTGACGCAGAGTATATTCCTAGGCTTTGTGGCTTTCCGTTTGTGGATCGTGTGACCGCGGGATGGTGGGTCCGTTTGTGGATCGTGTGACCGCGGGATGGTGGGATGAATGGCAAGTTTACGGTCTCCTGGCAACCAGGGTGGTGGAGAACGGTGGGGATGGTTTAAGACCAGCCCCCAGAAAACAAAACAAAACAAAACAAAACAAAACAAAACAAAAAAGCGGCCGGGTTTAAGACTGTTGTAAGTCTCAGGCAGTTGCAAAACCCAACTACTGAAGGGTAGGAACTTGGGAAGTAATCCGGAAAGCCGTCCAGAAAAGTCGTCCTTGGCTAGGTACCAGGAAGTCGTCGAGAAAATCACCCAGCTTTTCATCCATTTGGAAAAGAAGAAAGAAGGTTGTCATCAAGAAAATCACCCAGCCTTTCATCCATTTGGAGAAGAAAGAAGGTTTTCGTTCTCAATGTGTGATGTGCAAATAAAAGCGACTGCGTTCTGTCTTGCATTTACTTGTGGAAACAACTGACTCTCTCAATAATACATCGTTACACCCTTAATCACTCCTCCTTTAAGGCTTTAATGTTCTCCATGTGGGATGGAGAGTGGAGTTCTCCATGTGGGATGGAGAGTGGAATCGTAGGAATCTGTGTGCATTCTATGTTGTAGACATTCTGAAGAAAACTGTTGCTCAAAACTCGGAACTAACTAAATAGTAAATTTTAAATTTTAAATTTTAAAATTTAAAGTTTAAACTGGATTACCACCTGGGCCGCGCGGGCTGCGTGGATCAGCACGTGGCAGGCCACTGGGCCAAAGCACACAAATTGGCAAGTGCCCGTTCAAGCCCGGTTTGGCCCGGGACCCCAGAAGACTGCTGTGTTTAGAGTCCTTAGACTGCAGAGAAAAACAGAAAACTGGGCCCCGATTTCCTTTTTCAGAGATGAAGCGATCTGGACTGTGTATGGCCCAGATTTAGCCTGGTGAGAGGTAAGAGGAGCATTCAAATTCCAAAGGACATTTGAATTCTAGTGCCCGTCCTGCGCTCATTGGTGCCTCGAGTTTCCAGTGCCTTCTCGCCCGGCGTCGTTGGCACCATTCCACTTTGCCCGCTGTGCCTCCCCATTGTTGCGTTCATTACCACTACCTGTGGTCCCTCACCGAGCCGCCCAAGGAATGAGGTGTGTGCCCCCTTCTTCTTCTTCTCCTTCTTCTTGCTGTCTCTTATACACATCTAGATGTGTATAAGAGACAGCCCCTGTACTGCGCCCCATGTCAAAATAATTGTCCATTTCTCTCGCATGATGTGAGTCTGGTTTGAGGTTTTCGACAGATTGTCACTGCTTGTCAGGCTTCTTGCAGATGTCAAATTCCTCATTTGTTCATCGTGGTCGATTCTGTCATTAGTAATGGCTTATCCATGTTTGCAGTTGTGTAACTTGTATCTATTTTTAGCTCTTGGTTGCTGATTCATTTGGTCTGCTCGATTCTGTCATCGATAAGGGCTTATCCAATTTTGCAGTCATGTCTATTTTTGGTTTAGGGTTGCTGATGTGATGAGAGGGGATTTACATGTGTTCTTTCGTCGTTCCAGGCAGTGGAAGGCGGAGGACATCCTTGGACGATTTATTGGGCGGCGAAGACGAAGCAGGAGAGCAACGAGAGCAAGCCGCGGCGAAGGATGCGGACGTGGACACTGGAGGATGGAAGGAAGTGGCGAAAAAGGATGTTGTCGTTGCAAACGACCAGGAAGAGGAAAATGGCGGTGAAGAAATGTCGTCGGTTGCTGCGAAATTGGAACCAATCACTGAGGAAGTCGTTGTCGGTCCTGGCATCGCCAATGCCTTAAAGCTTCTGCAGCAAAGAGGGGCTCTGCAAGAGACTGTGGAATGGGGAGGAAGAAACATGGATAAGAAGAAAAGCAAACTCGTTGGAATAACGGACAGTTTCTTTTCTGGTCAGAAAGAGATACGACTGGACCGGCTTGACGAGTTTGGTCGATTGGTGGGTGTGCTTTTCTGGGCTTCTCCCCTGAGGGATGTTTATCATGCATGCGCTCTTTTTTCTTTTCTCAACCCTTTAATTGAACTTCTTTTTCCTTTCCCTCTTCCTTCCAGCTGTGGCTAGCTTTTCCTTCCTTCCATTTGTTATGCTGTCCTACTCTCATAACTGAACGACTCGTACAAGCTATACATCCGGTGATCATCCGCCCTGTCATATGAATCTGCACCTTCCGCACAGCATTTGCCGCAACACTCTGTTCTCGCATGAAACCCTGGTTTCCACGAGTTTCAGTTTTCTGCCGAACTCGCTTTTGCCTGTTGCTTTTGCTGTGTTGCTTTTGCTGTGTCTATGTCTAACACTGCTAATGTGGGCTGTGATGTGAGAAAACAGACTCGGTTCTATGTATTTCAGTGCACTTCCTCTCCCGCGAAGTCAACCAAAATTTTAGAAAGAGCTCAGCAACAGTCGTCATCCCCTGATTGGACGTCAGACGACAAACTCTGATTCTGAGTAAAATACCAACTCACTCGCTCTCCCATGTTCGATCAATGCGGGAGAAAAGTTAAAAAAGCCGCGTGCAATATTCTTGCAAACCCTTCAGCAGCTCATCCATCGGTACTCAATCTGACTGCGGACACCAGGTTAATGTCATAACGTCGAGGTCTATAAAACAAATAAGGTCATCGTGAGGAAGGTATCTACTATCTACGAAAGCTATATGGAGGTGGTGCTACCGGTAGTCCTAAAGGCACTGCCAGGGCTGATGGTACTGGGTGAATGTCATGAAAAAGAGGATTGAATGAAATGTCAATCGGAAATGGATCTGGCCTTGAGTTGGCTAGTGATGGGACCATGGCAGGTGTGTATATGGGCAGGATAAGCACAAAGGGCCCTTAGTGACTGGGCTGTGTAGCAGTTCTGCCTTTCTTTTTGTGTTTGTTGCAGGAGAAAGGGGGGGGGGGGGGGGGAAGGTTGGTT